TTCTCTTATGTTGACTGTTTAGAAAAGCGTCAATGTGCGAATCTGTGTGTTTGACGTTCTGTGAAAGTGTGTGTGTGTGTGTGTGTATTGTATGATGTCAGCAAGCTCCTCAAGCTTGCACTATATATCCATTCCAAAACCCCTCCAATGCAGCGATTCCCTTTAAAACAGTGTCTGGTGAAGCTGAGTGGAGATTAAATAAAACTGCAAACAGTTCCTACGACAATGAAGCATTTTGAAGAGTCCCAGTCCTGAGAGGTGCAAAGACAGTGACAACTCAGGGGGAACCATTGAAGCTGTGCCTTTCATTCGTCACCTTTGACCTCCCCAGTTGTACCATCATCATCATCATCATCATCATTGCATCCTCTCTTCTGTCACTCAGGCTGCAGCTCGGCCTCCCTCCCCGTCTCCCTTCTTAAGAGCGGAGTTTTAACTGCTGCTAACATCAGCCAGGCACCGCCTCCAGAAATCCTGTTGCATCTCCTGCGTGCATTTGCCATGTGGAGGTTACAGTGGACCGATTTGCGTCATTGTCCTTTGGGTTGACATTAAAAGCCCGGCGATGCTGGCGAGGCGAGGCGAGGTTGTGCATTTGTCCGTGCTCGGTGACGCGAGTGCAGAACTGTTTGCTCCCACCCTCTATCCTCCACTCACTTTGTCCACCGCTGTGCATTTTCTCTTTCCGTCTCTCTGAGCGTCCCCCATCCTGTCCCCCGGAAGTGTGCATGAGAGAGTGTGATACATTTTTTATTCACCTACTTGTCTCGTCCTTGCTCACACATCCATATGAGTGTGTTTCATCACAATTGTTCTGAGGAACACAATCTATTAATTCGTTCACTATTACCCTTCCCTCGACTCCTTCCTACATTTAACACTAATCCCTTTGTAGAAGTTGCTCTTTGGTGGATTTCCTCATCTGTTTGTCCTTTGTCAGAACATTTTGTCCTTATAAGAACAGAGAATTTCCCGCTGACACACAGACAGCCCGATGAATGTCTCCCCTCTCCATCCTCCTGTCTCTGTCCTGTCATTCCCTCCCACCTCACCCTCCTCCCACCCCTCATTGTGTTTGTCCTTTCCTCTTTGCTCCCACTCTCTTCCCCCATCGTTGCTTTCTTTCCCTCCCTCTTTCCCCACAGGGGGCTCATTACGTAACTAAGAGGACATCTGAGTGCTACCTTTGCCGACAGGCAATTAGGCGATGATTATAAAACCACCTGCAAACAGGAGATGCGTATCTCTCTCTCCTGTCTGTCTTTTTTTGCCCTCGTGTCTTTTTTCTCCTTCACTCCACGTGCACCCCCCCATTCTCTCAGCCCCCTGTGCCACAAGCGTTTTTCATCATTTGAGGCCGGCTGTCCCGGTTCTTGCTCACGTCTCTGTTTGGAAGGGATTAATAATATTTTAAAGTCCAAATGCAGAAGAACACACAACTGACAGATGTCTTCAGAGTGAAACATGTTCCCTTTATGTGTGTGTGTGTGTGTGTGTGTGTGTGTGTGTGTGTGTGTGTGT